AAAAAAAAAAAAAAAAAAAAAAAAAAAAAAGAATCTGCCTTCCAATGCAGGGGACGCAGGTTCAATCCCTGGTCGGGGAACTAAGATTCTACATGCTGGGGGGCAGCTAAGCCTGCGTGCTCTAGAGCCTGCATACCACAACTAGAGAGCCTGTGTGCCGCAACTAAGACCTGATGCAGCCAAATAAATAAATAATTTTTTAAAATTACTTATTATTTTTGGCTGCATTGGGTCTTCATTGCTGTGCGTGGGCTTTCTCTAGTTGTGGCGAGCAGGGGCTACTCTTCATTGTGGGGCGCGGGTTTCTCATTGTGGTGGCTTCTCTTGCTGCGGAGCACAGGCGCGTGGGCTTCAAGAGTTGTGGCACACGGGCTCAGCAGTTGTGGCTCGTGGGCTCTAGAGCGCAGGCTCAGTAGTTGTGGCGCACAGGCCTAGTTGCTCTGCGGCATGTGGGATCTTCCCGGACCAGGGCTCAAACCCGCGTCCCCATCCACGGGCAGGCGGACTCCTAACCACTGCGCCACCAGGGAAGCCCACTAAATAAATCGTTTTTAAAAATCATAAGTATTAACTAAATTATTAGCTAGCATTTGCCGAGCCCCGTTCAGTGTCAGTCACTGTGTTAAAATACTTCACACAGATTATTTCATTCACTTCTATTTTTTTTTTTTTTTTGCGGTACGCGGGCCTCTCACTGTTGTGGCCTCTCCCGTTGTGGAGCACAGGCTCTGGACGCGCAGGCCCAGCGGCCATGGCTCACGGGCCCAGCCGCTCCGCGGCACGGGGGGTCTTCCTGGACCGGGGCACGAACCCGCGCCCCCTGCATCGGCAGGCGGACTCTCAACCACTGCGCCACCAGGGAAGCCCAGTTCTCTGTATTTGTATCCCCACTTTATGGGTGAGGAAAATGGACCCGAAAAAGGGAAAGAAACATGCCCAAGGCTACCAAGCTGGCGGGCGGACGAGCCTGGGTACCCTGCAGCCTCTTACAGAAGCCAGCCCAGGGCCCATGTTCCTAGTCAGTGTGGCCCCCGTCTTGGCTGAGGAGAGGGGCCGTGTGTGACCAAGAGGCTGCCCATGAGAGGCCCATCCCAGGTGGCCGGGTGCCCTTACCATTTGTCTGTGATGTTGATGAGGGTGGAGACCTGGCTCAGGTACTCTTTGTCATAGACGACTATAGGCTCGGATTCGTTGATCTCCACGGGGTAGAAGATGGTGTTGAGGAAGGGCAGCCAGTTGATGGCGGGCGCCAAGGCCTGGAAGGGAAGCAGACAGCGTGACCCTGGCTGGGCTGCTTCTCCTCAGAGCCTAGGACTCTAGGTCGTTCTTCTGAAGAAGGCGCCATCGAGCCCTCACCGCGGACAAAGCAAAGAGCTGGGTGCTGGCTGACAGTGCACTGGGCAGATGTCAAACCCAGGCTGGCTGACTGTTGTCAGAGATGCTGTACATATAGAACTGTAAGGCACCAAACACCAAACTGTAACTTGAAATGGAATAAGAGGAGACACAGTGACAGCAGCGGCAGCCACTGTTGGTCAAGCCCCTCCAGTGTCAGGTGCCACCATCAGTGCCACACATCTTCTCTCAGTTGGACCTCATGACAAGCCTAGGCGGTAGGTACCATTATCCCCATTTTCCTGATGAAGAAACTGAGCCTCAGAGGGGTCTGTAATGGATGTGTGTAGAATCTGGAGCCAACTGCCTGGGTTCATACGCTTACTAGCTGTGTGACCTGGAGTAAGTGGATGAGCCCCTCTGTGCCTCAGGATCTCATCTGAAAAGTGAGGCTCATCATCATCATAAAACCCACCCCACAGGGTTAGTGTGAGAATTAAACAAGTAATCCTGTCTGTTCTACTCAACATGTGGTCCTGTAACATCAACTAGATTCTATATGATCAGTCTTCTATATGATTGGTAACTACAAGAATAACAGCAGTAGAGTGCATAGAATTCTCTGGTCCACAGCAGGTCTTTCTCAGGCATGGGATCTGGAAAAGCAAGCATAGGATGATAACCTCAGCAAGAGAGGAAAAGCCCTCAGCTCAGCCCATGCCCACACAGGAAGCCAGTCAGCTCTATTTTAAGATAATTTAAAAGGAGCACCTGCACACAACCCTCCCCACAGAGGCACATGCAACTTTGCATAACTCTCAGCTCCCAGAGGGCTACACTTGCCCTTGGCCTGCCTAACGGCAGCCCCACTGCATAGAGCTCCCATCTGTCTATCTTCGGGGTCTCCGTGTCCACAGCCAGGAGTTCCATTTCCCACCAGGCAGCCTCCAGCCATGTGAGCTATTTCTCAAGGTTCCAATTACTGTCTTGTGAGTGTTTTGATGACCAAGTGGCAAAACTTTAAAAAAAATTGTGGTAACATAAAATTTACCACTTTAGCCATGTTTAAGTGTACAGTTCAGTGGCATTAAGTATAATATATTCACGTTGTGCAACCATCACCACCATCCATCCACAGATTTCGTCTTGTAAAACTGAAACTCTGAATCTATTAAACAATAACTCCCCCCATCCCCCTCCCTCAGCCCTAGACAACCACCATTCTACTTTCTGTCTGTGAACGTGACTACTCTATGTACCTCATCTAAGTGGAACCATGCAGTCTATTTGTCCTTGTGTGACTGGCTTATTTAACTTAGCATAATGTCCTCAAGTTACACAACTTTTGAATGGACTGCTCTAGTCCTATTTTCCCCATATGTTCTGTTGTTTTTAGTTCTTTTCAGTCCTGTAGTTTTACAGGATGCAAGGTTTTTCAGGATTGCATATACTGTGTTACAACAAAAATGCCTGTAACATCAATGGTATCTGGCATGTAGCAAGCAATCAATGTTAGCTATTATAATCATTGATGAGCTATTGTAATCATTGCTCAAAGCCTCCCAAGAGAGGTCCTGGGACTGATTCCAAATTCTGTTCTTTGTTCCCTTGAAAACGGGCAAAATGTAAGACAAATAAAGGAAGCGAGAGACGCCTTATAAATGGCCTTCATACAGGAAGATCAATTAATGTAAAATCAATCTGTGACATTGATGAATCTATAACCTGCTGGTAAATACTTATAATGTCCTCAGTGACAGAGGCAGCCATAAAAACCTCCCACTTGACAGTCTCTCTGGTTTTAAAGGGCAGCTCAGCTGCTGGGGAATAAGGACCTCAAAGGACTGAGGAGGGCAGGTCCCGTGGGCAGTGGTGTGCTGGTAAACATTTAACAACTGGCTCTCAGTGATGGTGGATAATTTGCATTCCCACCAGGATCTATTGCAAACTACCCAGAGAGTTGGGAAGAGCTGTGCCCAGTGGGCCCCAGTACATCCCCATCTGCCTGGCACCAAGGTGAGCTGGGAAGAGCCCTGTTTTGGAGAAGACCTAGACTGGGGTCCCCACCATGAACCAGCTCTGGACCTCAAGTCACTTTGCAGTCTTTCTCTCAAATGGAGACAAAAATCCCTACCAAAGGGCTTCCCTGGTGGCACAGTGGTTGAGAGTCTGCCTGCCAATGCAGACTGGGACACGGGTTCGAGCCCTGGTCTGGGAGGATCCCACATGCCGTGGAGCAACTGGGCCTGTGAGCCACAACTACTGAGCCTGCGTGTCTGGAGCCTGTGCTCCGCAACGAGAGGCCACGACAGTGAGAGGCCCGCGCACCGCGATAAAGAGTGGCTCCCGCTCGCCGCAACTGGAGAAAGCCCTCGCACAGAAACGAAGACCCAACACAGCCAAAAATAATAAATTAATTAATTAATTAAAAAAAAAAGCTGACGCAGCCACAGATAAAATAAAAATAAATTAAAAAAAAAAAATCCCTGCCAAGGGTGGGCTACTCTGTGCCTCTCGGGACAGCTTATACAATAAATCGAGCTTCTTTTTTCCCCTAGCTTGTCCATTCCTCCCTCTCTTCCTGGCAAGAGCTCCTTAAGCAGGTGACCTCTGGGGCTCCCCATCAAATTTCTGTGGCTGCAAAACTTGAAGGTGTCCAGGTGAGATGGTCAAACAGGGCTCAACACTTAGAGCCACCTGACAGTGTGACCTGCTGGCAAATCCTCCCGGGAAAATCTCCAAGTTTACAAAATGTCACTGTTTATACAATTAACAAGAGCTTCATAAACTGCAGGTGATTGGAACTCTCTGATCAGGGTACAGATACAGGTGATGATAAATCCCCGTATACTTAACACAAGCCTGTTCCTTTTGGGAGAGCAGTTGTTCTGTGCAGGTAAATTCCCACAACTCTGAAACAGAGTGCCTGTTGAATACCAGGATTTTCACATTTTCAGTCTTTACTGATTTAGTGAACACCTAACTTAAACCCGAGTGCCTGGGTCCATCTCCATGGAGACGGCTGTTTTAACCAACCAAGACATTCCACTTGTGATTCAAAGCCTTTGGGGCACACAGATGAGCTCTATTTTCCACACTCGCAGCCAAAGAGTACTGCTGGTCACCAAGCACCCAGCTCAAGTAGGCTTGCAAAGTGGGAGAGGAACGAGGATACTCCCAGGCTCTATCTCAGCTGAAGAATTTAGAGCAGAGGATGGGGCTCATTCCAAATCAACTTTTGGTGTGGAAGGTCCTAGAAAGGAACAGGAAGGTCCTCAAGCCCCTAGAGAAGCAACAGAAGATGTTTGATTCATGGGTCTGAATTCAGACTCTGCTGCTGGGGGCTTGCCTGGAACCGCCGTGTATTCCTAGAACCACACTGTGAAAGGCTGGGGCGCCTTTCCCTGAGCCTCCTGGAGTCTGGGAAGAAAACCAAATTTCCAGATACCAGGGAACAAAAAGACATTCTCTGTCCAAGGGTGGAATAAATCAAACTGGTTTAGGGCTGGAGACGTGGGCTGTCATCACCGATGACACAGGAATAATACTAAGATCGATTACTGTAATATGTTCGAATTGCACGTCAGTTTACAAGATGAGATCTCATCCTTTGCCTCATCTCACCGTCATGCAACCCCATGGGCAGGGCAGGGCGATTCTCATTCAGGACACCAGGCTTCAGTGGTCCAGGACTTCTTTAAACACTAGACATAACTTTTTTATACGTAACCATGCCCATTTCTTCTGGGAGATCGCCACAGTTTTCAACCTATCTTCAAAGAATTCTGTGACTTAAAGTTAAGAACCACTGCCCCTTATGAGGGCAGGGGCTGTCCCTCATTTGTCTCTGTGTTCTGCAATGGAGCAGGTGTAAATGAGCAAGCAAAGCCCATTTTACAAGGAAGGAAACCGAGGCTCAAAGAGGGGGTTATGTGACTTGCCCAATGCTCACAGAGGGGCTGGGCCAGAGCAGTCTTCTGACTCCAATCCCAGGACTCACACAACTCCAGGCTGCTGCCTCTGCTAAAATCCTCCCCACCCTGGGAGCTCTGTAGCTGGGAGGGAGGAAGAGCATTTCCTTGCTTGCTTGGAAGAACAGAGCAAAAGCAATGGTGAAAAGACATCTAGGGGCAGAGCCTGGAAGCCACGCTGGGCCAGATGTGCCCAGGGCTACTGTGCTTTCTCGGCCACTCTTGGGCTGTCAGTTGCCTTCGTGGCCACTGCAGGGGGGGAGAGGGACTACTGGAGCCCTTCTGGGCTGAGAACTGGGCAGCTGGAGCAAACCAAATCATGCTGCACAAACAGCATCTCCCTCGACTTCCTGGCCTCGGAGCGGAAAAACAGTGCCAGATGGTGCCCAGCACAGGCTGCTGATCTCCATAACAATCCACTCAGCACCACTCCCCCTGATGCCAGCTTCTCTGGGGACCTAAAGGGCAGCTGGCACCCAGAAGGAGGCCAGGCTCTCTTGCCCTCATCCCCAGCCTTTGTGTGGGCTGCACCTCCACCTGGGACACTCAGTCAGCCTGGCCCCTGCTCGCTTATTCATTAGACTCACCCTCCCTGACTTAGCTCTGCCCCTGGCCCCAGTGCCCTGCTTTTCTTTCCCAAAGCACTCGGCAATGAGACTGAGCTTGTTTCCTCGCTGGTGTCCCTTACTCGCCTGGAAGCACGTCAAGAGCAAGGCCCCAAGGTAGCCCCATAGACACCTGTTGGAGGGAGGGCTGGAGAGAGAAAAAGGGGTAGGGACCTAGGTGTTCTTCCCTAAAGCAGCAGAAATGAGCCAAACTCTAATGGATGGGCAGGACTCGGCCGGGCAGAGGAAGAGTGAAGCCTCAACACAGGTGGCCTGGACATCCTTCCGAGCAGGGAAGCACGGCCTAGACGAGCATTCCTGGGCGATAGCAGGAAACAGGGAGATTGAATAAGGCCATTCTGCTGATTCCTCTGCGACCCCAGAGCTTGGGGGAAGGCTGGACACCAAGATGCCACGAACTGGAAAGAAGGAACTGGCAGGCAATCAACTCACTACCTGCAAGTCCCAAGCAGCCACCAGGGGGCAGGCTTTGATAGAGGCTGACCTACAGAAGAGACATCGACTTCTCAGATGGGTACACCCAGCGCAGAGAGCGTCTGACCCCAACCCTGTTACAGCTCCAGGAGGTCACCAGGGGTCGTGGTCAAAAGCAGAGCTCTAGTGAGCCAAGCCTGAGTCCAAGTCCCAGCTCCCCTGCCACTTAGGAGCTTAGAGGCCTGGAGCACATCACCTAACCTCCTGGCTCAGAAAAGGGAGGTGACATCAGAACCCAACCTTCACGTTTATTGTGCACCAGGCTTGATGTACTTGAGCTTGAGAGACTGGAAATGCCCAGTCAATGTGAGCCAATATTATCACCACCACCGAGTCTCCCCAGGTAGCTGCAGTTGCAGAAAAGCAGCCTGGCGTAGGGCAAGAGACTGGCTTTGGCTGGTCTCTGGCTGTGTGGCCTTCAGCAGGCAACTCTAATTCTCTAAGCCTCAGTTCCGTCTGTGAACTGGGGACAACGACCATCCCTGCTTCATGGGGTTGTTCTGAGGGTCTGGTGAAGGGGGTGTAAACACCCCAGTCTAGTGCCCTCCATCCTGAATTCTGCCTCAGTCTGTGCTGCCTCAGCCTCCGCGTCAGCAAAGCTCAGCTACCTGCAGTTCGGCTGCTGTCACTTTGTGGTACAGGAGCTCCTCGTCCCGGCGCTTCTCCTGCGGGATGGTGATATTGGCCAGCGCTGTCTCAAAGTCCAGGATCTGCTGCATCTGGGGCCGGATGGTGTCCTCGTCCCCTCCGCCCAGCAGCTTTCCCAGCTGGACCATGTAGTTCAGGTATCCCGTCAGCACCTGTGGGACCCAGCACCCCCCATCTGTCAGTGGCTGCCACCCACTGCCCAGTGGACAAGGGGGGCAGGGCAGGGCAGGCCAGCTGCAGCCCCGCACAGGGAGCCAGGGGGCTGGGGGGTTTCACCCAGGACACCCGCTGGAAACCAGCTTCAAGAATGGTTTTGGCAGTGCACCCCTTCACTAGTTCCCCATGGCCCTCAGGATAAAGCCCACCAAGGTCCTGAAGTGGGCTGGTCCCTGCTGTCCCGGCCCATACTCCCTCCTGGATGCTCATCACATGGAAGCCACCAATAGGGCCATCGCTCAGTTCTTGGAACTCACTTCTGATCCACCCTGCTCTACCAGGCCCCCAGATTTGAATTAGGTCTCCAGGTTACTTTCTCAGCTCACCCTTCCCTTCTCACAATTTATCATCATGCCTCTAATCGGGTGGTTAGTTACTTAACATCTGCCTCCCCTCCCAGACTCAAAGCCCCATGGGGCAAGGACCAAGCTGGTCTTGTTCACCACTATCTCCCTAGCATCAGGCACTTGGTAGCCACTTGCTCAATACAGTGGGTGGAATCATGAATGGACAGTCAATGAACCTCAGGCCAGGTCTCCCTGGGACATCACGGGAGGAAGCCAGGGGGAGGGAAAAGTGTGGGCTTTGGAGTTATCGGATCTGGATGAGAATCTCAGCCTCACCACTGACGACTAGCTGTGTGACCTTGATAAGGTCACTTAGCATCTCTGAGCCTTATTTCCTCCTCTGAAACAGGCCAGGTAAAAATAATGCCCATGTGACACATAAGGCGAATGAAGTTCAGAGATGTTCAGTACCTGCAGGGTTACTGGGAAGGCCAGAGGTGATGTGTATATAAGGTAAGTGGGCGTTATCACTGCCTCGCTCTAGAATGGGGACAAATGACACCTGTTCCCTGTGCCCACAGTGCCTGAATATGGAAGAGCCTTACTCTAGAATGGGGACAAATGATACCCCTCCCCTGCCAGGGACTGCCAGGTAAGGGACACCTCTATGCTCCTCTAGCGTCAAAGACCTGCAGAGGTGTGTACACTGAGGGAACACTGAGGGGGACGAACCATGGAGAGAGGTGGTCTGGGCAGGAGCCACTCTCTGAAGAGGCACACCTACCTTCTCATTCTCGGTTTTGTTCAGGTAATAATCCCTCGAGGGTAAGCCCAGGCCAGACTGGTCCACCTGAAGAGAAAGGTGGGGGTGAGAGGGGATCTCCCGTTGCGCTCACACACCTGCGCACGCACACCTACGCACGCACACCTACACGCAGTCTCCGTTCGCTCCAGGGGTGGCAGGCACATGGCAATGGAGGAGCAGCTCAGGCCCCAGCAGGAGCACAAGCTGGTAGCCGAGGCCACCCCTGGGATGGACCCTCCAGAGGGGGGACAGACACATGTCGGGCTACATTCCTCCCCACACATGTGGTCAGCCGCGGGGATCTGGGGCCCTTCTGAAGGTCAGACGGAACCACCCTCCTCTTTAAACTCCTTCTAGGCTTGGCAGAGCACTTCTGCTTCATTAAACACTTCCCAAGGTGGTGAGCAGTCCAGAGCCACTCACGGCTGTGTCACCTGGGTCAAGTTGCTGAACCTTTCTGATCCTCAGGTTCTTTACCTGGAAAATAGAGGAACTATCTAACCTGCAGAGCTGGAATGAGGATTCAAGGAGAGAGTGCCAGTGAGGGCCTTGCTGGGTGCTGGGCAGGTAGGGAGGGTCAATCCCTGATAGCTCCTATCAGAGCCTTGGGCCACACCTTGACATACCTAGAGTAGGTATTGCTATAGTTCATTTTGACTGATAAGGAAATTGCATCTCAGAGAGGTTGAGGCACTTGCCCATGGTCACGCAGTGAGTGAGTGGCAGAGGTGGGTGGGAACTTAGCCTTCAGGACGCCCAACCCGGGTTTCTCGCTTCTGCCCCTGAGGGTGGGCAGAGCAGGGCTGGGGTCCCCTGGGTGTGCTGATACTCAGTCTGGGGCAGGCTCTGGCAGGAAGAGGTGGACTCAAAGCTATTCCGAGCAGAGCCACAAAGGCCAGAGACTGAGCTGGGGTGACCGGGAGGTGACTCCAGCTGTGCCCAGGACTTGACATCACTCCTGGGACCCACAGTAACCAATCAGAACCCCAAAGATTCACCTGTGCTGCAGTGACCCCCACCTACCCAAGGAAGGCAAGCCTGCCCTTTCACAACTTTCCTGCAAAAATCTCACAGTTGGGAGCCTCCAGAAACAACCAAGCTCAGAAACCAGAAGCCTGTCGCCCAAGGGCAGGTCTGCCCTCACTGCGCTGCTTGCTAAACTCAAAACAGGCCCTGAGGTCAGGCCCGGCCCTCTCCCCGCCGGCCTCCCGGCCCCTCACCTGGATCACGTTGCTGCTGGAGTTCTTAGAGTCAGCGCTGACGTAGACTGAGAAGAAGGGCGAGGTGCGGTAGTGGGACGTCACCACCTGCAGCGTGCTCTGGAAGTTGTCCTTGTCCCAGGGCCCCGTGATGTTCCAGCCCCCGAGCTGTGGGGAGGGAGGGGGGCCGGGGAGGGGATGAGGCGGGGTCGGGGAGACCGGGTGTGGATTCTGACTCTGCTGCTTACTTGCTCTGTGACCCTCTGCAGTCCTCTGACCTCTCTGAGCCTCAGGAGTAAATGAAAGGGCTGGTCTGTCTTCCTTCTTTTTTTCTTTCTCTCTCTCTTCCTC